ATTTTAACTATGATTAATCAGTACAGTAAATAGGAAGGTATAAATGTTAGTTTGATGGTTATTGTCATCGAACTATATCTCTCGATGTGCTCCTCGTGTTGATTGTCATGTCAGAAATGACATACAGAAATGAATATAATAGTAAATATTCCCATTTGAAAACGATCAATTTTGTAGGCACTCAGCCTGAGCTAAGCATTCACGCACACTTCATAAGACCATGCTAATGATCATATCCTATGTATGTTCAAGTAACATATTTGCTTTAGTAGCATGCAAAAATGTTCCAAATAAAGAGAATCATGAATAATAAATAGAACAAATGAAAAAAAAAATAAGAATTATCAAATTTTTGCATGGGGGCACTGCTGAACTGAGGGAATTGACTGACTTCTACATGTAGATTAAACTCCGTGAGTGTCAAAGACAACTTCAGGCACAAAATTGTTCCATTTATAGTTTGTTTTTTTTTCCTCGGAAAATCCAAAACTAGAAGCAATGTCAGTTTGGATCTTGTTTGGTTCAAAATTGAATTTGAATTCAGTGAAAAATACAAAAAATGTGAACATGATTATGCTGTTTTGAGGAGGAAAAAATTTGGCGTTCAAATGGTTGCCCATTTGCCCCGGGCAAGTGTGAATTGGAGGTATGGCTATGCTAATGAGTGTTGTTAATCACTTGCATAGGCTATGACGCATCCTGTTTCAGCGCTCCAACATCACGTGACTTTGATTGACAGTAGGTAATTATTCAAGATTAGTAGCGCGTCCCTTTCCCCGCGTTCGTGTTTTTGACTTTTATCCGCCAAAATCTCAGCTCGTACACTATCTATTGTCATAAATACTATACACAGTCACTGCTGTAATATTCATAGTCACATACATCCACTTTGGCATGACATAATCGACCTGTAAGTTCGAGAAAACGCGTTTTTACCGGAACTTGGCTGGAGCTGTTTACTACAGGAGCCTATTTATAGTATACCTGGGCTTTTAAGACTAATTAATATCCTCTTGTTTTTTTTTCCAGGCATATACCTATTGGTGTACTCTTTGATTTGTACAGCTTTTCTTCAACGTTGCCATGGAAAATTACACTACATTTTCAGGTACACTGTTTATTAGTCCCCATTCGGATGCAGTCCAAAAACGGGGACTTATGTTTTTTACCCCTGTGCATCCATGTGTATGTCAGGACCTGTATCTTAGACATGCCTGGACCAATCACATTCAAACTTCACACATACATCATACATAATATTATACATATGCACATCAATTTGTTTCTTGATCTGATTTAAGATGGCTGAATGGTGGCCATTTTGTTTTAATGAATTCTTTGACTGATTATGTTCAAATTTCATATATTCATTATACATCATGACATAGATATATAGATATACTAGTTTGACTATCTGTTTCAAAATGGCCAAATGGCAGCCATTTTTGTGCTACAAAATCATCAAAAATCAGACATTTCTGGCATTCTAGAACTGGATCTTGGCGTTTACGGATGGATTTTGTTCGAACTTTGTACATACATTAGACATTATGGGTTCCTGACCACATCATTTTTTTTTACTCCCATGTGCGAAGCACACAATGGGAGTCTTTGCAGTTAGTGTGTCTGTATGTGTGTGTGTGTGTGTGTATGTGTGTCCGACTGTTCCACTGTTATCTCAAGAACCATACATTGGTTTTGGATGAAACTTGGTGAATAGATGCTCTGGGCCAATGCGCAGACTTGATTAGGTTTTGGTAAAAATCCATGCTCGTTCATTACCTAATTTGCATGATAATTAGCTAATTAGCTGTTAAATGACTGTTCCACTGATATCTAAAGAACCACTCATTGGATTTTGATGAAACTTAGTACATAGATGCTCTGAACATATGCGCAGATTTGATTAGTTTTTAGTAAAAATCTGTGCATA